ACTTGTGGTGTTTTAAAAAGTCTGCACAAGTAAAGATGGCAAAACGAGTGCAAAACACACTGGGAGTGTGAAACGAGTCAAATATGTGACAATTATGTTCAGCTTTGACTCCCCAGATGTTCTAAGGCATGGTGGTCAAGAGTATTTCTCCATATGGATCTTTTTTCAAGCATCACTGCTTCTAAAACCATATTTTATTCACACCAACTCCTTTTGGACTTCCAGACTCTCCTAGCAGCTCTTATCTGCTTTCATAGCTGCGTTGATAGTTCATTTTTTCCCATGTGACTAATTGATCAGGTAGGGAATGTTCAATTAGTCAGCCTTATGTTCAAGTATAAAAAATCATTTTGGTCTAATAATATGTGCAATCATATGTTTTAATTACTGCTATACAGTGTAACTAAGCTAGATTTGGATAGTTTCTCCCAACTTAATGACTTATTGGTTTAAATATTTTTCATTTCAACATTGACCTAAACAGTAATTTAATCAAGCAGCTCTATTTCCCTTTTTGTGTGGAGTTTTGGAGTTTAACAGCCTGAAATGTAAATAATAAAAACATTGAAAATAGAGAAACATTCAGAAAATTAAACCTTTATGACAAAATAGTCAGGGCTTACGATGCATTCACTAAGCAAACTCCATTCTACCGTTAAATGTCACATATCTCCTTTGCAGGGTGATATAAAGAGAAAGTGGGTTGTTTCCTATTTTATGAGTCAGCAGCTGAGTCATAAGGAGAACTCCTTTAACATTATTTATATCTCTGGCTTTTGGAAATGCAAGATCTCCTGCAGAAAATGGACATTTCCAATTCTCTTTAAAGAGGAAAATTGAAAAGGCAGATGGCAGTTTCAGTTTGACAGATTGAGGTGACAGTTTGATGACGTGTAAGGCTGTGCTGCTTCAGTTTCATCCTGGAGAATGGATCTGAGCTAGAGTTAGTTATCGGAGTCCAGATTTACCTTACATACCTGGAAAGCTGTAATTTCTCTGACTGCAAAGTAACGTTGTATAATTTATGTTTCATTACTAATATCATTACATATCTTGTAGTGCTTGGTAGGTCATTCCACATTTGTGGAACGATGCATGAGAAGAGTCTGGATTGTCCTGAGCGTGGTGTAGGCACTGCTAGCTGACGATCCTGTGATGACCGGAGCGGCCGGACCGAGACGTAAGCCTTTGCAAGAGGATTCAGGTAGATGGGAGCCGTACCATCTCGGACTTTGTATGCTAGTGTTAGCAATTTGAATTTTATGCGTGCAGCTAGCGGTAGCCAGTGGAGCTCAATGAACAGAGGGGTGACGTGTGCTCTTTTAGGCTGATTGAAGACCAGACACGCCGCTGCGTTCTGGACCATTTGAAGAGGTCTCACAGTACAGCCTGGAAGACCAGTTAGAAGGGCATTGCAGTAATCGAGGCGGGAGATGACAGTAGTTTGCACCAGGAGCTGGGTGGCATGTTGTGTTAGGTATGATCTGATCTTTCGTAAGTTATACAGCGCAAAGCGGCATGAACGAGCAACAGAGTCAACATGATCTTTAAAGGTCAGGTGTTCATCAATCACAACACCCAGATTTCGAACTGCCTTTGAAGGAGCCAGAGATTGGAATTCATTTTGGATTGAGATATTGTGCTGTATGGATGGTTTTGCTGGGATGACAAGTAGTTCAGTTTTAGAGAGGTTGAGTTGGAGATGGTGGGATTTCATCCATTTTGATGTCAGAGAGACAGTTTGATATTCGTGCAGAGACGGTGTGGTCGTCCGGTGGAAATGACAGATAGAGCTGGGTGTCGTCTGCATAGCAGTGGTAGGAGAAGCCATGTGATGGAATGATCTCACCCAGTGAGGTGGTGTATATGGCAAAGAGAAGAGTCCTAGTACAGAGCCCAGGGGGACTCCTGTGGCAAGATGGTGCTCGGTAGAGGATTGTCCAAGCCAAGATACACTGAATGATCGTCCTGTGAGGTACGATTCAAACCAGGTGTGTGCTTTCTCTGTGATGCCCATGCTAGAGAGTGTGGACAAAAAGAAGCCATGGTTGACAGTGTCAAGTCGAGCAGGATAAGCACTGAGGATTTGGCAGTCGCTCTAGCTTCTTTTAAGGATTCCAACACAGCTAACAGAGCAGTTTCAGTGGAGTGGCCCTTTTTGAACCCAGATTGGTAAGGGTCAAGCAGACAGTTTTGTGAGAGGTATTCTGTGATCTGCTTGAAAGCCACCCTTTCAATGATTTTGGACAGAAAAGGGAGGAGAGAGATAGGTCGGTAGTTCTCCACTTGATTTGGTGGAAGAGATGTATTTTTAGTAGCGATTTAACCTGAGCATGCTTGAGTTGTTAAGACAAGAGCAGACTCGGTGGCATCATTCACTTCATAAGCAGAGAACGTGCTGGGAGATGGAAGGGTGGAGGCAACAAGAGAGAAGTGGTTGGGTGCCAGATTGCGGAGGTTGCAGCAGAATGAGACCATTGGGGAGGAAGCAGTGGTCCTCCCTTGTAGAGTCGTGCTGAAATGGATGAAGTAATGATCAGAAAGATGTAGCGGTGTGACAGAGGTTGTGTCTATGGCACAGTTTCTGTTGAAAATGAGGTCAAGTGCTTTTCCAGCTTTGTGGTTTGGAGGGCTTTGTACTAGTTTTAGATCAAATGATGACATTAGTGACAGGAAGCCTGATGAGCTGGGATTGTCCAGGTGAATATTCATGTCTCCAAGGACCATTGTGGGACTGTCGTACTCAGGAATGGAGGAGAGCAGGGTGTCGAGTTCATCAAGAAAGTCTCCGAGTTGACCTGGTTGGCGATATATGACAACCAAAAAGAATTTTTTCGGTACAGTTATCTGGATGGCATGGTATTCAAAGGAGTTGTATTTAGTGATGGGTAGCAACTGACTGCATATCCATTTGTTGGAAATTAACATGCCCATTCCACCACCTCGGCCAGATGCACGAGAAGTGTGAGAGAAAGTGTGGTTTGCTGTGTGTGACCTTCCTCTGAAGCCGGTGATGACAGGTATAGGATAATGGCACAATTTGCAAGGTGTCGATGGAGCAGCCTCTGGGTCGAGTTTGTTTGCTCTGTCTACTTGCTCTGTGGACACACGCAGGTAGACACGGATGTCTTTACCCCTGAGTGTCTTCACACCGGAGGGGCTGTTTGAAAGTGCTTGCAGTTGCTTTTCAAGCTTTGCTTCAGGTGAGAGGACAGCCCACCTTGGTCACCTGATGAGTGTTTTCAGGGAGGGGAGAAACAGCTCGTTCACAGCCCCTGATTGCACTTATTGTTTTCAGCTGGCCCAAACCAGAGCTACTAGACAACAGGATTACCCACAGATGAGTTTCCTTCTCTTTCCCAATGGAAGATAGTGCAAAGCAAAAGTTTAAGAAGACAAAAACAAGCACTAACAAACACTTGAGCCCTTCGGTGCAGATTCAAGCCTGTTAGAAAGTGTTTGCAGTTGCTTTTTAAGCTTTGCTTCAGGCAGAGGTGGGAAGTAACAAAGTACAAATACTTCGTTACTGTACTTGAGTAGTTTTTTTTAGGTATCTGTACTTTACTTGAGTATTTGTTTCTGACAAATTTTTACTTTTACTCCCTACATTTAAGCCCAAATATTTGTACTTTCTACTCCTTACATTTTCAAAATGGTCTCGTTGTCATGATGTGACGGGTGGAGATGGTGGACCAAGTGTGGTGGAGGGTTCCAGGAGGCAGAAGAGCAGGCACGGATGAAACAAAAATGGATTTAATAGCAGCGGGAGCGACAGGAGAAAACGAGACATGCACATACAATGATCCGACAAAGGACAGGAGCAAAACAGGTGGTATAAATACACAAGGCTAATTAGGAAAACATGGGCAGGTTAACGAGGGACAGGTGAGAACAATACAGACCAATCAGGGCAGGAGAGAGACACAGTCAGGAGGGCAGGGGCAGATCATGACACTCGTTTCTTTGAAATTTACCTCACATATTACACATATGTCGATGACGTCATTACGTAACTGTCGGAACAAAACAGAGGGAAAATCAACGGGGCGGCAAGAAGGAGTCTGGTGGGAGCACGGTTTGAGACCCAGAACAACACTAGCTAACAACATGGATGAGGACAGTGGCCTGAGAAATGCTGCAAGTTTGGAGGAGCGATGCATTCATCATCCTTGGCCTTATTTAAAAGAACTCTTTAACGTTGTTGGCTCCAAGAACGATTCGTGGCGAATGCGCTGTGTTTTGTGCCAGCCTAAAAACCACAAGCTTCTGGCGTTTAAGAATTCACCGTCAAATCTGAAAAAATGCATACAGGTAAGCGCGATTGTATTTTTTTCTGCTACTGCTGAGCTTTTAGAGCCACAATGGAAACAAGTGTTTTACAGTTTACTGTGTTACCCTGTATATTTAATGTTTTTATGTCAAATTGTGTAATGGCACTTTCACGTTAGAGTCGGCTCGACCCCCACAGCCAGGTTGTTATGACACAGCCATCTCAGGGACACGGAAGTGAACAAGCACTTGGTCTCCACCATAAAAGTGGCACAGAGAAATCTGCACATGAGCGCCAAACATTAGCAAAAAAAATAAATAAAATAAAAAAAAACGCTCGTGAGCTTGATCAGTTGAGACTAGTGGGATAAGACTGTTAAAACTATGAACTTCGTAGTGATCAAACAACCGAGCCAATCCTAATGTGAAAGAGCCATTTCATTCTACAATTACATTATCTATGCAAGTAAAAAAATCAATAAATCATAAATTGTCTCGTTAGGCTTAGAGTTCTGAACACACGTTTGGTTGTTGTGTGTGTGTGTGTGTGTGTGTGTGTGTGTGTGTGTGTGTGTCTGTCTCATGCTCTAAATGTAACACGTGAGCTGAGCTCTGCAATTGTAGTCATTTGTCAGTTACCCCTTTAGAAAACCAGTTGAAGCGCATAGGGATTTTTTCTTCTTCATCTTGTATTTTGTGGACCTAACTTTTTTGCTCTTCTCTTTGTGTAGAGGAAGCACGCAAATCACCTGGAAAAGTATAACGAGCTAACATCGCCCAATCTGAAGCGGAAATTGAACACTGATGACGGAGGCCCTAACAATCAACTAAAATTGCGGGAAACCAAGAGAGTTTCACAAAAAAGCGTGGATGATGCCATCATTAACTTTGTTGTACAAGGTCTGCACCCGCTCCGTGTTGTCGAACAGGAGGGTTTTAAAACTCTTGTGCATCATCTACAACCAGATGTGACTATAATGTCTCAAGGCACTGTAAACAACAAAGTTGAAAAAGTAACACTAGAAATGAAGAAAAATCTAAAGGCTGCTATGAATGTGGTTGAGCACATTGCTACCACACACTGTTGGACTGCACACAGACGAAGTTTCTTTGGTGTTACAGCACACTGGATAAAGCCTGAAACCATGGAAAGATGCTCTGCTGCACTAGCATGCAAACTCAAAGGGCCGCACACATTTTCTGCACTTGCTGGTGCACTAAACGACATACATACAGAATATAACATCTATGATAAGATTATTCGCACAACTACTGATAATGGCTCTAATTTTATTAAAGCTTGTCGAGTCTATGGAGAGCTGGATGCAAAGAGGGGACAAGGCCAAATGAAACCGCAGAAAAAGAGAACAGAGAGGATGAAGGGGATAATGTGGATCTTGAGTTTGTTGAAGCTGGAGCCATGTTGGATGAAGATGATGGCCTAGAATACCAACTGCCAAAACATCGTCACTGTGCCTGCCACCTCCTGAACAGTTGATGTCTCAGAAGCAAATGCCAACACTACCTACAAGAAACTCTCGTTCAGCGTTTTCAAAATGCTGGAGTCTGTGGAACAAAAGTGATAGATCCACCGCAGCTGCAGAGGTTATTGCAGAAAGATGCAAACTCCAGCTCTTGAGGCCAAATGAGACGAGGTGGAATTCTCTTTTTCTGTCTGTGGAGAGACTTGTCAGGATCATGAGAGAACAAGGAGAAGGAGCCATTGCAGCTAAAAATTCCAGTGTAAGTGCCATACCACTTCACTTTTCTAGCTTAGTGACTGTAGTATATGTAATAATATAATATACATGGCAATATAATGTATTAATAAATATTGCAATTTGTGCATGTATAGAGCTCCGGGAGTTGACGTCACTTCTCCCGGCATGCAACAGTTCAAATCGAAACGGCGCCATATTGGCAGGCAGAAGCCCGCAGCTGGACTATTTGTTATTGTCAGAAAACTCAATCAAACGGGAAATATGGTAGATTCCTGTCGTGCCCCAGGATGCAGAACAGACACGGGCGACATAAGGGATGAGCCATCTACAGGATTCCCCGAGATCCGGAGCGCCGCAAACGTTGGATCATTGTAATAAAACGCGCTAGTGACCGGGCTAAAATGAATTTATGGGATCCCGAGAGTAAAGGTTTGCACTTATGCTGCAACCACTTCATATCAGGTACTTAAAGGGACTTTACAGAGTTTTGAATTTTTATGCTCGCGATTGCCCCCTCAGGCCAAAAGCGTAACGGCAGCTTCAATAGTAGGCTCGTGCATGAGGCCCGCATGCTGTACTTGCACACTCCTTAACGAAAATAACAGCTGAGACAGTCCCTTGTGTGTGTGTGTGTGTGTGTGTGTGTGTGTGTGTGTGTGTGTGTGTGTGTGTGTGTGTGTGTGTGTGTGTGTGTGTGTGTGTGTGTGTGTGTGTATGTGTGTGTATGTGTGGCCCGGAGGACAGAGGACAGGAGAACGCGCAGCTAATTAATTAAATAATTTGGTTCTGTACCTTTCTCTTCAGCACAGCCGACAAAGGTTTATGATGGGTCAGTCTTCCTGCATGCTCAGATCATTCCCTTCCCTTGCTTGAAAAATTGTTCCAAAATGAAAGTTTAACCCACATCTTTTTTATCTGTGAATTCAATGCCGTTCGGCAAGTCTCAAATAAAAATTTGGGCATCTTACTGTAAAAAAAATATTTACCATTAATGTAAAAAAAGAAACTCTATATAAACTATGCTCACATCCAGAATCAAACCCAGGTCTTCTGCACGAAAGTTCAATGTCTTACCAGGTGAGCTAAAGCGCCAGTGATGTCTTTTGTATCTAACATTTATATCCTTGATGACAGTTTAAACAACGTTCAAAGAACGGTTCGGAGTGAAAATGGCTATTTTGTTGCTAATTTGCAGGAAATATCTAGAAGAAAGTTCTACAGAAAGTAGCTAAGGGTCCTCAGAAATGTAGCTAGGTTCATCACTAGGCATTAGGAACAGCGACAAAGTCGCTGAGTTGGCACTGCCTCTCTCTCTGCTGCTAAAGCTACGGATAGCAAATGCTACGGGCTATGCCTGAGCGTGAACGCGCATGAAGCAGCGTGCTCGACCCGAGCAGCTCTCTTTTTCTGTGATTTTACAGAAAAACAGGCAATCACAGTAAAAATGCCAGGGCTCATTCTACAGGACCAGGGCATTGCAGGAGAATGTATGAAGATTAAATTTATTATTTCTATACATGTTTTGGCTGTCAAACTTCCATAATACCCTATAAACTCATGAATTATTGTGGGATATATTACGAAATACAACAAAAGTAAAAAATGATCAGGTCACTCTGACTTCGTGTGATTAATTCACATTTAGATTATTAAATTCTGAATGTAGTATTGACCTGAATGTAGGACGCACCCCCCCCCCCCCCCCCATTTCTAAAAAGCTGGCGCCCTCTGCTGTTGCAGTCGTGTAACGATCCCAGACAACTATCAGCATGTGTCAATGGTTAGACCCCGATTATTAAACGACACCATATTCTTACATTATTTTCAATGACGAAAATCTTGTCCTACATTCAAGTCAATACGGTAAATCTTTTTTTTTTCATACTTTATTTGGTATGCAACAAATTAGCTATGTTATTTTAAATGAGGTGATGAATTTGGTGATAAATTATAATCTTTTTGATTTTGTCATTCATAGGTCTTGGCTTCATCTGATGGAGCAACCTGTGGTGCAGCCAGGTGACACGTCCTTTTCTTCAGAGGAGGAGGACTTCTTTTTCACCATCAGGCAGGGCAACAACCAGGAAAATGCCAAGCAGCTGGAGTCCTACCTGGCCTGTCCATCAGATTCAATAGATATCTTGAAATCTTTTCCAGCAGTATGCAATTTAGTACTGAAGCTGAACACACCTCTGCCTGCCTCAGCTTCTTGTGAGATGCTTTTCAGCACTGCAGGACTCATTTTCAGACCCAAAAGGGCACGTGTTGATGCAAAGAACATTGAAAACCAGCTTCTGGTGAAGCTCAATAAAAAGTTTATTTAGTCTCAGTCATTTCCACTCAAAAGGAAATAATACTTGAAGATTTGAAGTGACCTTGACTCCATAATCACAATGTTTTAAGTTAAGTTGCCGAAAAAATTATAAAATTATATGTGGTGATAGCAATAACATTAATAGCATCATATCTCCAGGAATTATTGTTGTGTTGTTGAAATAAACTTCTCAATCCAAACCAGATGCCTTTTTTTCTGTTATTTAAGGTTTAATTTTTTACTTTTTACTTTTCGTACTTAAGTACTTTTTAGAGCCTGTATTTTTTACTTTTACTCTAGTAAATAAATTCGCTCAGTACTTTCACTTTTACCAGAGTAGTTTTTTACACAGGTATCTGTACTACTTAAGTAAAGAACGTCGGTACTTTTGCCTTCTCTGGCTTCAGGTGAGAGGACAGCCCATCTAGATCACCTGATGAATGTTTTCAGGGAGGGGAGAAACAGCTCGTTCACAGCCCTTATTGTTATTTACTGCTGAGTATATATTCTTGGGAACTCTTTATTTTGTCTCGATAAATCTGCAAACATTCCTGGACTAGATGGGCTCATTTTCTGCAGATTGCAGACTGCCTCCGTGTTGGAGCCGCCTAAGGCTAAATGACGCAGCTGATGACTCACACAGCCAGGCGAGCCTTCCCCGCTCCAGTTCATTGTTCCTTTCTGAACCTCTCAGGATGGATTTCTGCAGTGTTTGTGGCTTCCTCACCCCACACTGCTGACTGGTGCTGCAGAAAACCCAGATAATAGAAGAAACCTCCTTTATGTGACTGTAAACAGCAGTTAGCTCTGTCCCTCTGGATTAAAAGGGTCCTGTCTGTTTTCATGCTGCTTTCAGGTTGAGATTGTTGCTCACATTAGAGCACTACATGCTCGCATACACACAATAGAATCATGACAAAATAAAAGGATCAGATGTTACTAGCAGGTCTTTCAGGTTTTCCGTCATACATTGCAATACATGTATATGATTTCATGGTGGTTTATTAATGATGGATCAGCGTTAGAATGAATTAGATTTCATTGGATTACAGACATAGGCGTCATTTTAACCGGGGACACCGGGGACATGTCCCCGGCAAAATTTGTAATTGGCAGCTGTGTCCCCCCCACTTTCAAAAAAGCCTGCTGATGAGGATTTTTGTTTTACCAGCTCAGATCTTTTACCAGGGGTCGGCAACCTGTTCCCATCAAAGAGCCATTATTACCCATTTCCCATAGTAAAGAAAACACCGCACCAGTCGCATCGTTGTGGGCGGGGCCTAGCCTGAGACAGCAGAGCGCTGCTCACAACCAGGTGACAGCAGCCGGTACCATGGGCGTCGCACCCGTGGGGGATTCAACACCCACACTTTTCCAGCTGTTTTGCTCACCTCCACACCAGTCTGGTTTCTTTATGTCGCACTCACTCTGTTTGCCTCATCTCCTTCTTCACCTCCGCTTCTGACAGCCGATGTCGGGTTTCCAGGAGAGCAGGAGAGGGAGGGACGGAAGAGCTCGACTGAATAATTTTACATCTTGACATTAGCTGTACAAAGTCTGAGTTTGATAAAGTGAAGAACAACCATTTGCAGAGGTTTATAATAGGCGCGGGCCAGGTTTTCATTTTTGGGTGGGCCAAGGTAATTTTGGACGGACCTTAATAAGCAGTGACTTAGTGAAGCAGGCAGGTCGCGCTAGAAAATTTTGTTTAAAAAGACGTCATAAATGTGTTCCCCCGTCATTTTTATTTATAAAATATGAAGTAAAAACTCCCAATTTAATTTTCATTCATTTGTCATTAATATGTAGTCTACACCCGTGCGTTAAGTGGACCATCTTCCAGTGAACGCAAAGCATCCAGCCCACCTCTCCAAATGCGTAAAATGTGCATCAGCCGCTAGTTAGGCGTGCCGCGCGCACCGTCAGCTACATCAGCCCAGACAAGAGCAGAGCAACTAGAGAAAGAATAGAGGATAATTCTGTCTGGATGTGGATGGAGATTACATTTTACATCAGCCTGATCATCATTTAAATAAGTAAACCATCACCTGTCTTCTAGTCCATGCTATCAGCATTATTTTATCTGGTGTGTGTGTGTGTGTGTGTGTGTGTGTGTGTGTGTGTGTGTGTGTGTGTGTGTGTGTGTGTGTGTGTGTGTGTGTGTGTGTGTGTGTGTGTGTGTGTGTTCCACTTCAAACACTGGTCTAACCAACCAGACCAGCGTGTCCAGTAACATATTAATGTTACAATTAAACAGTTTCACTTCATGTAGGCTAGGAACGTTTCACCTGCCGTGGCCCGACCGCTTCTGCTCCACATAAACTTTGTGCGTGATCAAATATCTCTACAGGTGCTTTCTGAGCTGAAGAGGCGACTGGATGCGTCATGCGTCTCCATATTGGAGACGGGAACAAGCGCTGTTCAGCCAAACTTTCATAATTTCATAAAAATAACATTTTTCCAAGTGACACATCCCTCAGAGAGACCGGGTTTCCAGACCGCTTCAGTGGGAGGAAATGAACGAACATCCTTGAGTTTATCCGTCAAAATAAACAGTCAAATGGAAATATCTGTAACCTGCCATTTAACTGTTTTGCCTTCCTGTGAAGATTGTTGCAAAGAGAAACAACTAAACTTGATTAACCCCAGAGCCACGTGCACTGCGCTGTACTTCGTGACTGTAAAATGAGGGGGAAACGGTTTAATCGGATCCTTTTCTTTTCAACATGGTTTAATGTAAAGTTTCATTCAGTAGAAACTTTAGTTATACCAATATAACGACAGAGCCTGGATTTGGATTCTGAACAGTTTAAACATGTTTAAAACGGAGACATGCGTGACGCGTCTAAAATTCGCACCTGCTCCGCTATTATGGAAATTAAAATAACAAGATGAATAGCATGAACTTATTTTAGGCACAGACAACATCTCCCACACTTTTGAAAAGTTTGCAACGCGCCTGGTCGCTCGTGTACATCAAAATTATCTTTCGTAAGAAGATAATCAATAAAACGATTTATATAAAGTGGATCCAGAAGTTGTAGCCCCCGTCTCTGCCGACAATATTTTGATATTTTTCACCCTGTTGGTGGTTTTACTGAGCAGGTGCCACTTTTGTCACGCGATTCTTTTTAAAACATGTTTAGACTGTTCAGAATACAAATCCGGGCTCTGTCACGTTTGATTGTTGTAATTAAACTATGTAGGTGGGGAAGGTCAGAAAGCAGCTCAGAAGCGCCTATGATTACGCACAAGCGTGACGCGTCAACCCGGTCTCACAGTAAGACCGGGTTGGACCTGTTCAGGTTTACGCAGACAATCTTTACATTTAGAATTGGCATACAGATGTAAAATTAATGTCACGGTTTGCCTCTGCAGTAACCCATTTGCAGGAATAAAGATCCTTTATCCAGAGTTCAAAAAAGATTTAATAAACAAAACTTCCTCCACTGACTGTGGGAACCAAAAACCAAAACCAAACTCAATCCATACAAGTACAACTCAGCAAAGACAACTCCACACTGATGACTGGCAGCAGTGGCCTGAAATAGGGTGAGGGCAATCAAGATGATGTGGTTCAGCTGCAGCACTCCAGGAGGTTCACAGGGAAGGGGAGGATTCCTGAGAGGAGCTGCAGCTGACCTGAACAAAAACAACAGAGAAAAAGTTAAACACAAACACAAAAAGGGGCGAATCATAACAATTAATGCAGTAAAATATAAAGCATTTTATTTAAATATCCATTCATTATTTTAAAAGTACAGAGAGCCGCATCAGATGGATGGAGGAGCCGCATGCGGCTCCAGATCCGCGGATTGCCGACCCCTGTGCTAGCCTACTTTATTGTCCCCAGCAATTTTTAAACCCCACTCAAGTGTATGGTTATTGTCCCCAGCAATTCTGAAAACAAACTGACGCCCTTGATTACAGAGACTTGGCAACGTTTTCATATTTAAAATAATTTTCTTGAGCCATTGTGTGCAAAACTGACCCTTTACAGGGTTAATGAAATGTCACTCAGACCCCTACTGCCCCATGTGGCCAGAATACCACATCTGCAGCTTCAGAGTGCCGGTCTGGTAACTGGCGGCAGCCAGATCTCTATGTGTAGCCCCGCCCCATATCGAGTCACATTTAGGATTCTCCTAAGTTTGGAAAACTCCAAATCTCGCGAGAATTCATCTTGCAGCACAAGTTTACTGATCTGATCTGTTGGACTTAGAAAAAAATTGAGCTGACTTAGCTGGCGCTGCAGTCTGCTTCCAGCACGTCTTGCATGTTTTGGTCTTTTTAACATCTTAATCTGATACATCTCTCCAGCCTTCATTAGTGTCTACTGGAGTGATTCATAACAACATTAAATAAATCAGCTATATTCGTGATCTAAAACATGCAGGAAACAGGCTAGAAGCAGACTGCAGTGGCAGGTATGTCAGCTCCAGTTTTTTGTAAATCCAACAGAGCACTCTGAAGCTGCAAGTGGAATATTCTGGCCACAGAGGGCTTTAGCAGCTGGGTGGCCTTTCATTAATCCTGTAAAGGGTCATTTTAGCACATACTGACTCAAGAAAATAAATTAATTAAAAATATGAAAAAGTAGCAAAGTGTCTCTTTAAATGAATTCATCTTAAAAATGTAAAATATTTTTGGGCTTTTAGTATCACAATATATTGCATTCTCTCCTCTATTGTGAAATATAGCCTATGGTATTGCCAGATTCTTGCCAATACACACCTAGTTTTAACTAAACAGTCATGTTTAGTTTTGCTCATCACATTTAGGTGCTTTGTTTAGGTTTTAATGAAACTGATGGTGCTGGTGAAGGTGATGGTTACTATGGTGACCCTAATGAGCAACTGATGGTTACTGTGATTCCTCTAACTGGCGGCAGCTTTAACATTTCTGTTATCTGAACTCATGCTGTTTCTTGTCACACATCTTATATAGTTTATATCAAAACATAGACATTTTGTCTCAGCCTAAATTATTATAAAATAAGT